ACAACTGCTTGTGATAAAATGGTGGGCTTTTATATAAACAGACTTTAATTCATTTTTGGAATATTTATACATCCTAAGAAAAATTCTTTCTTGCATCATGGTAATTCTGTGCAGTAACATAAAACTGGCCGTTCCTTTAATTTAGCAATGTAAATATTCTTAAATTTCATGACTCAAAACTAACATAAAAATCACTTCCTGTGACTGGGCCATATCTATTGTATTTTTACTTATTTGCCTTATTATTAAAAGCCTTTGCAAAACATTTCTTTGTCATGGAATGATTCATTTTCAAAGGAACCAAGTTTACATGCAAAACAAAACTTTATTCTGACACCCACAACTTCATGAAATTTGTTCTTCCTGTCCTCATATTAAAGGTAGTGAATTTTTTATAAAGACATATAAATCCCATTTCATTTTGATTTTGTATATACTATCTTTTAAAAAACCCAGAAATTCCCTAGTAGTATTTTAAGAATTTATGCAGATTCTGCTTAATCTTATGTTTCAATTCTACGAAGCATATTTTAAAGTAATAATTGTAACACTTAAAATACATTTATTCTTACAACACTTTTGTTGAAGTGGGTGTTAGATATCATATGTACAGCAACATTCCTGGCAAGGGGGTGCAAGTAATACTTTAAAATGAAACTTCCATGTTTTAGTTCAGCTCCTTTCCTTGATTGAAAAATTATGAATATATCTTGTCTCTTTTCACAAATGAAAATATGTTCAAATGCAATTAATCTACCCTATTAATTCTACTCAACATCTGCTGTATTTGTTAAACACTTCAAAATTTTTTTCTGAACCATTTAATTCTAAGTAATTTCTCAGTTAAATATTTACATGGGCTTCCATGATTATAAGCCTTAGCTTGTCTTAAATAACCAGCGGATTGTCCAGAGAGTGTTATGTGAAATGCTACACATTGTAATCGCTATGTATTGGAATTTAAAATGGTTTGGCTGGCTCAGACTGTTTTTTGCATATTTTCATCTTAGCCAAAAGTAGTAATAGCCTTCTGAATTCCATTCTTTTTCAGCATTTTAATATCCAGAATTCCATTGGATTAAAAAAATGAATGGCTATATAGACATATCCAGATGTTTACATCATGAAAATGCTAAATATGTTCTCATTTCTCTTTCAAAAAGTGATAAATATGTTTGCAAAATTTTAGAAATAACTTAATTTATTGTTCTTTTTATGGCAGATTAAGTAGATGGGGAAAGTAGAAAAATAGACATTCTTTGGCAAATTAAGTCAAAGAGAATCTGCATAGATTATGCAATGTAGCATGTATACAGATAATATGATTCTCTAGGAAAATTATCCAAATACATAAAACATCAAGTAGTTGTCAAAGAAGTGAATGAGTTTCAAAATAGAGAAGATTTAGAGTATATAAATGATTCATTCTTAAACGAACTAGTATAAGGCAATCTTAGACCTAATAGAATGGAATGATCACTTTAGCATAAGACAAATAGGATTTAAAGTTCTTCAGTGTATTATTGAAGTCCAAGTTAGATAATAAAAATAATTATATGTAGAGCAGTAAACTATTCCCCAGCACCAACACCAGTATTGCTGTACAGTGGTTTCTTTTTTATGATCCTGTCTACCACGTGTCTATTAAGTTTCTTCTATAAATGAGCTGAAGGACAGTATAAAAGGGGGCTTCTGTCTGTCAGAAGTCACTGTCAAAGAATAAGCAGCTGACATGCAATGAGATATTTACAAAGCCAGATTAGGAAAGAAAACTGGAAAGCGTTCTGACACAAATGTTAATCTCGACACAAGTTTCATTTAGGTAAGCTGAAGCTTAGGTCTATCAATAATTTTCACAGTAAGTGAAGAATAAACTCATTGTTTGACCTTACTAAATGGAAGGAGTAGTGACCTGGATGATTGCATTAGTGAATCATCCTCAAGTTATAATTTCTTACTTTGGGAAATATATGATTTTTATATAGTTGATTGATCTATGTTTTACTAATGACAGTATTATTTTTCTTTGTAAATCTCAACTAATGTTCAATAAAAACAGTTGAAAAATGTTCTGAACATTAGGAAAATATGGCTAAGACTAAAAATAGGTCATGGATAATTTTAATATTAAGTGATACATTAAAGATTAGAAAAAAATTTTCCAATTTTGTTTATTAAAAAAAATCCAAGTCCTAGATCTGGCGTAACTGAAGGGGGTTCAGAGTTGTTCACATTCAAAGACATGTTAGTGGGTTTATGTTTGGACTTGATGCCATGTCTTAGTACTTGGACCTTGCACACAGGAGGTTCTCTTAACTATTTTTAATCAGGTGAATATATAACAAATAAAATTTAATAATTTTACATTTTATAGAGTTTTGCTATATAATTTTCCCAACTAGTAAAAAAAGTAATTTTAATTATATTTCTTAGAATTAAATATATTCCCTTGATGACATTATGTGTGTGTGTTTCAGTAACTCATGTCAGAAAATGCTGAGAGAGCTATCAGCATTTAGATGAACATCAAAAATGTTACAGATTGACTAGTGAAATGATGTTTTCTTCAGGGTAAGAGGGAAGAGTTTAATCTAGACCCAAAATTGTGTCAGGCTTATAAAATATGACACAGTTCCCTGTAATTCTATTGTAATTAATACTTGATGTACTTGGATTTTAATATTTGTTATTCTTATAAATGCTAGAAATTTATTATCCAAATGTCTAGCTACCCAAGTTTCCTTGTTTATATATTGTTTAATAGGTATTTTTTGTCTACAAAAAGAACTGATTTTTTTCATTCCCAGGGTTTTATTCATACCCAAATCAGTAAAATACAGGTTTCATGTGCTTCTGCAATATTAGTCTCTTCCAAAAACAGATAAAAGGAATAGAAATAATAAATGCATGAATCTTATTCATCTATTCTGAAGGAGTCAAAGATTTGGGGAATGAAATTGGTGACACATGCAGCATTTTTGTACTAAATGCTCTTTGAAAATTAGGGACAATAATTAATGTTCAATTCTGACAACTTTAATCAAATGAAAGCTATCTCAATGAAAACTTAAAATGTCTTATTTTTTCTATTCAAAATAGAATTAAATGGTAAAATCATAATATGGCATTTATAAAATTTTATGTGAAAAAATTAAAAATGGATATATACATAAATAATTAGGGGTCATCACAAATATATCTAGTGTTTTAGTTTAAAGGTAGTGATCACTTTTAATGAACAAGGTCATATTATAAAAATGAATCCTCTGAATCTGAAGATAGAGTGAATGCTTACCTGAGGCCTTAGGTTCAATCCCCAGTACCAAAAACAAAAAACAAATAATGCTAACCATTTTGAAATTAGATAACACGAGAATGTTTCTTCTAGAATTAGGGTGAATTCAGATTTATTTGAATGTGTACTACTAGAGTATTGCATTGATTCCAAACCATTTTTAGCACATTTAATATATAATTGATTACTCATAAACATTTGGAAAACCTTTTACATCTTCAAACAAAAACAGTGGGTTGACTGGAATGGATTGATTCTCCAGTGTAGATTGTTTTCATTCAGCCATTAACAGACATAAATCATGATGAATAAGACACAGATTCTACCTATTGCAGCTTTGGTGAGAGAAACCATTACCTGCACAGTCACTTAAGTGAAATTACGATAAGCACTTTAATGGAAAAGTATGAGGCACTCTAACACCAAAATGGGCAACTTGTGTGCAGTCAGAGAAGGTAAAATGGGGTTTTCTTAAGAGCAGTCTGGCTGTGGTGTAAAATCAACTAACAAGATCTTCAGATGAGCAAGAAGAGATAACAGGAATAGCAGAGATGGAAAGAAATAGATCCAAGTATACTTTGGAGATAAAAATCAACCAGACTTGGTAACTAGATATGAAGTGTAAGCCTGAAACAGGACAGTAAGGAGATTGAGTTCTAGATCTCTAGCATGGGCACTAGGAGGGTATTGTGTGCATTCACTGAGGTTCGGAATCCTGCAGGAGGGTCCAGTCTTGCAGGAAGTGGCCTGACTTTCGTGCTTGATGTACTAAATTTGAGACGCCTGAGTGGAAGGTGATTCTGTCAAATAGGCAACTGGATGTTGGATCTGTATCCAACTCGGAAAATAAACTGAGATATAAATCTAGGAATCATTGGTTTAGAGAATCTGAAGTCCGTAGTCTATAAGATTGTGGTAAAAGAAGGTGATGCAAGAAGAAAATGAGCCTAACATCACCCACATTTAAACCATGTTTGCAGGTTGAAAATGAAAGAAGGAAGCAAGCAGCTGTAAAGACAAAGAAGATGGAGACATAACTGCTGAAGAATAAAACAAAATAGCAAAATTGTTTTGAATGTCATGCTAAGGAGGAATTTTACATAACAGTAAATATAAAGACCGAGAGACCTGACTTCCAAATTAACAATATCTAGGATTTCCTGGGACTTTTTTATGCTCTGAAAAAAATAACCTTCCTTACCACTTAATATAATGAGAAAATGTTTTAAACAATCTCCATGATACAAGTTAAATGTTACAGACATATGTTTGAAACCAAATCTATATCATGTGTTTTCTTAAAAGATACTTAGAAAGCTACTCTCAACCAAAAATGTATTTTTATTTATGGAATTTAACTATACAAAGCGATATTTTTTTCTGCTTGCGAATATTGTTACCATTTATTGATGGTAGTTTGGTAAAACGTGGTTCTGATGATATGGGATGTTTTAACTGGTATGTTTAATCTCATTCCTGGTTTGGAACCACTTTTATTCTTTCTTGTGCTTAGCTACAAAGATAAACCAGACAATGAAGGGGAATTTATAATTATTAATATATTGTGCAGTTTAAACTTAGAAGAGCTCAAATCAGTTAAAAAGTTTGGTTGAATTAGAGAAATGAGCATTAATTTTTATAAGACTCTTTGTGAAGCAGGTGTACTTGAAATGGTCAATTAATGTGTGTCCCTTTTTCTTCATAGGGTTCCGTAGGGATACAGGGCCCCCAAGGTCCACCTGGAAAAGAAGGTCAAAGGGTAAGTAAACTTGGAACAACTGATAAACATCATTAATTCAGGGGACAGTTGTTTTTTAAAAAATACCAAACTATAGCAAGCAGATGGGTATTATATCAGCTCTCCAAAGGCTGAAATTTAAGAGTAGAGAGGTTGTATTTCAGAAAATTGTAAACTTTTTCAAGATTGGCAGCACAAATGTAGAGGTAATTGTTTGGATGAAAAGAATCATCTCTCGTTCAATCTAGAGCACTTTGGTTATACTGTATTTCCTGTATTCGAGTTAAATTAATGAGTATCTTTGTAAAAGTCCAGCCCATTCATGAATTCAATAAAAACTGTGGTTATTAGCTGTTGTATTGGTCAGCTTTCCCATTGCTTGGACCAATACTCAACACCCACAGCTTAAAGGAAGACAAGTTTAATTTGCCTAACAGTTTCAGAGAATCCAGTCCATGGTTAGTGGGCTCCAAGATAGTAACATCACAGTGAAAGGGAATGTTGGAGGAAAGCTGCTCACCTCATGGCATCCAGGAAGCAGAGAGCAGGGCAAGTGTGGCAGAGAGGAAGGGTGAGGCACCAGATGCAGTGCCCACGGTCACGTCTCCATGGCCCACCCGTACACATTCAGAAGTGCACTTCACTAATCCTGAAGGTGGCTCCCAAGCCAACCAAGTTGACAGTTAAGCTTAACCATCACAATTACATTATTTAGCCAAATTATTGATATTACTTTCTCTTTGCAACTCTCCTTTCATTATTATTTATTGCCTTTAACAGAGATAAAGTAGTGAGTGAATAAATTGTAGTTCCATTTGGAAGTATTCCATGACCTTTTGTCCCTAGTCTGTCTCAGCGTCCTCTTCCCTCAGTGAAAGGAAACCCTGTGTGGGTGCTGTGGCGGCCGGCTGCTTCCACTTGGTCCTGGTGGCTTATTATTACTACTATTTGCAAATCACTTCAAAGGCTAAGAACAATTTATATGCTTTCTCAAATGATTATTTATAAAAGCTCTTTCTGCTAGATGAGGCCAATGAAGATTCTGTAACTTACGACTTTAGGTGACTTGCCTAAACTTGGACTTCTGACTCTAGATGCCATGATTTCTTCTGTTGTCTTGGTACATTAACCTCAAATCTATTTTTAAGTCACAGTCAGTTATTACCTTCAGTTCTGCCCTCTGGTAAATAAGTATGTTTCTTCCAGTACTTCAGAGTCCTTCAAATGTTTATGGTCCAGTGGTGTATTTTATACAGGCTTATCTTTATTGGGTTCGTAAAATCCCAATTCCACTCCTTCTCTTCTTATATGGATTGCTGACACCCTTCCAGGCTGATAGTCTTTCCAGAAAACATTCATTGATCTTCTGGTATCAAGAGTGGGACCATACATGTGGTCTTATTTAGAAGGGAAGGAAATGTGGCAAGTAGGCCAATTACCACAGACAAGTTTCTTCTGTTGAAGCCTAAACTGAGTCAGTGTTTCTTGTCTGGTGTCATAATTTTGACTTGTACTAACATGAGGGAAATTAAGAGGTCCTGGCTTTTATTTTAATGAAAACTTCTGCCAACTCAGATCTTCACCTCTCCTGTTGTTGAGCAGTTGCCTTTTTGAATCAAAAAATAGGAAATGATCTTTGTTGTTGTTTTTATTTGTATCATCTGGACTTTAGTCTCTAATACCATTTTATTGTTTGGAAGTTGTGTGGTTGGTGTTGTTGAAGAATTTGAGCCAGGCATGGCGCAGCATGCCTGTAATCTCAGCACTCAGGAAGATGAGGCAGGAGGACCACAAGTTCAAGGCAAGCCCGGACTATGCAGTGAGACCCTGTCCCAAGACAAAAAAAAAAAAAAAAGAAAGAATTTGAATCCTGTTTTCCAGTGAAATAGCTACCAGCTTTATGTCACCTTGAAATTTAATAATTTGTTCAAATCATTAATAAATCTAACCAGAGCAGGGCCAGGCAACCCTGTGTAGAGACCAGCATAGGCCTGCCAACTTTCTACCATGGCTGTTCTTGTGACAGGATAATCAAGTCAGGTACAAGAACTCTACCTCCTCCCTACTCGCATTTCTTAATTTGGTTTAAAAGATAGAAGCTTGTTAGATACTAGCTGAAATGAAAAAATATTCTAATGGACTTTAAAAAAAATATGCTTCAAATTGAAATTGTACTATCAAAGCTAGCATTTCAGAAGATGGGTTGAAGAATAAACATGTATTTTTCATGATGATTATTTGAATTGTAAAATTTAGCCCTTAGTTTATGCAATATACTCCATTTATAAATGTGAATCAGAGAATTTTGTATTATCTTGATTTTATTTTCTATCAAGTGTAACTGTCAGAAAAGAATACAGTAGAATTTTGTAGTCAGCATTAGGCATAGTTTGTTATTGTTGCTATGTCCCTTCTGTAAATACCATATCTATCAATGAAAGTAGCTAGAGTAGATACTACTAACATTACCGACACTTATAAATGATTTCCGTATATGCTCAGTGATTTGTTCTACTTTATAGGCTACTTGAACAGGAAAGAAATTAAGAAATAAAACATTCTTACATATTTATGTTTGGGTCCATCTGAATGTCACCATTTCCTCTCTGCTCAAGAGTTAGGTAACCCAAAGCTTCAGACACATAAATGGATTTGCATGTGTGCCTGTCTATGTGTCTATGTGTATGTGTATATGAAACTTCTCAAAACTAAGAGTAATAATTTTTTTACTGTGGTTTGCTATAGAATACAAACATTAAGAAATCTATGAGCTAAAAAAAATTAATCCATTTTCAACAAAACCCTTAGTATTTTGATTATAGGTGTTTGCTGAGGAAATAATTGACTATTATTAATGATATTAAAATGAAATATAAAAAATGTATCAAGCCTTATGCACTTCTAGGAATAATGGTCTTAATGAATGGACATCAGAAAAAAATCACTGTCTCGGTTTTCCTCAGTGATTAAATAGATAGTAGCCTCTGTGCTACCAATATCTCATAATTAAGGTGAGTTTCAAACACAAGTGTCACATATAAATGTACTTTGGAAAATTCCAGAATTATAGAAGCATGTTAATATTACCACTATTATTTTTATTAGAATATGAGAGTTCTGACTGATAAATTGCTTTTCTTGTTCTTTTCAACCTTTTGTGTAAAGTTTCTGTAGGCAGAAGAGAACAGTAATTTTTGCAAATACCACAGCAGAATTTGTTTGAAAGTTTTATTAGTTTGTTTTATTCTTTTCATTGTCTTTTAAGCTACTAACTCTTCATTTATTAGCTACAAATCTTAGTTTATAAACTTAGTTATAAATATTTAATAGCTGCTCTTCAACGTTGTACTATGGCAAAATATATCTGAGATTTATGAGTTGCTTCTTGCCTTATCCTTGTGATTTTCTTGGACTCTTTTATGTGCCATTAATTTTTTCTTGTTTACTTTATTATCTTTTTGAAGTCTGACAAGTAAAATACTCATATTTAAGTCTTGTTTGCTTTATAATCGATACAACTTTTGGAATCCAATTAATGCTACAGATGAGAGTGGGGAGTGGGAGCAGGAAGGACAACGGGGCAGGGGTGTGGAGGAGGTAGGGCTTCTGTGGGGGTCTGGAGAGTGTTTATCCCAAGATGAGGACAGAGAGGGCCAAAAGGGGAAGCAGGATACAGCAGGGCCAAGAGTCAAAAACAAGTCTGAAGATTTGTGGTGGTTCAGCAGAATTGAAATCTAGAACAAAGCCAGCAGAGAGACATTGGATAAGAGAAGTGGCTGTAAGCAGCCGGTTGAGAAAGAAGTTTTAACTGAATAATGTGGAGGGCACTGGGGAAAAATTGGGGGAAAAAAGGTATAAGGAAATGAGCGGGCAGATTATGAGGCAGAAGGGGCAGCAATGGGGAACCTGGGGTGGGTGGGGGAGGAACGGGTGGAAGCCAGAGAAGTGTCTTCCTGAAAAGCAGAGTGTTTCACCTTAGCTGAGCATGTTCATATGCATGGATGCTAAGGGGAAACATCTTAAAAGGACTGGCATTTGTAAAAACTTTCTGTGAGATGTGTATTCCTTGAGGATTTCTCAGTATTCCTAATAAAAATCTCTTAACATATAAAGAAGATAGTAATCACTTTAACATAACCTAGGATTTCCCTTTATAGTGACAATAAACGTGTGTGTGTGTCTAAATGATCTCAAGGTGAAGGATGAAACTACCTTGGGGTTTTTAAAAGAAATCACTTGAGGACTCTGGAAAAAGCATTTGTGTTACTGCCCCGCAGAATCTGAGGGGTTGGCGCATAGTGTCATCTCACTCTTCCTGCTGGGTCCTAATTTTAGTCCTAAACAGAAATTTTGCTTTAATTTTTTAAGAATTCCCTTTATCCTTTCCTCTGGTTCTAGACTATCCTCTCTGCTAATGCCTGTCCTGTACCTCTCTCAGCAAACCTTCTGATCGCCTCCTTCATAGATTTTCTGCAGTCTTCACTTCCCGCCAAGGGCTCCCTCTAAGCCCTTCTGGGATCAGGATTCCTACCATACTAAACACCACATGGAACCTGAGCCTCCTTAGTCCCCAGCCCTGGCGGGAGGTGTCCCCTTGCACTTGCCCAGACTTGACGATGGCAGAGGAACTGGGTCATATTTCTTTGATGAGGTGGGAGCCCTGCTGAAGTGGGCGAGACAGGGCAGCAGTCTGCGGCTCTGGTGCGTGTAGTCCAGAGGCAATTGCCCATCTGGGTCCCACTGCCAGGATCAAGTCCATCCGGGCCAGTGACCTATCTGGGCCAGTGCTTGGGCCTCTGACACTTGTTTTCTTATTTAGATGGAGACTGCAGTAATACCTACCCCATCGGGCTGTTACAGGACTGTGGCAAGTGTGTGCTCCTGTTATCTTTATTTTCTCCTCAGCTTGGTGACCTGAGGATGCTTGTAGAAGGGAAGGCAAGTGGATAAAATCAGAATACGAGGACTGATTAAGAATAGTAAATAAGGTGAAAGGACTGTCTTCACTACTGCTTCACTAA